CAGATTTAAAAATGGGAGTAATCTGAGCAAACTTCCAGGCATCAGGGAAAATAGACTGCACAATACATAAATTAAACAAATGTTGTTAAAATAAATAAATAAATTATATCCCGATAAACTGTGCCTTTGAATTTAATTGTGGTTGGATGACAAGTCTAAATATACCATTCTGACACATATTAGTTTGTACACAATCCATCACAGCTGCACACCTTTAAAAAAATGTATTTAAAAACATCTAACCTTTCATTTTTACTCAATACTTTTACTTTTAATACTAAGTACATTTTATGTCAGAAATTTAATTTTGATACTTAAGTACAAAATAAATCAGATACTTTACTCAAGTAATATTCTTAGAGGAGACTAACTTTTATTAATGTAATTTTATGATAAGATACTTGAACTTTTACTCAAWTATCACTTTGTGGTACTTTATAAAACACTGGTCTGTTTAAAAACACACAGGAAGTTTGTTTTTCCTATTTTCTACTTCTATCTACAGTTTGAAAAATGTAATATCTTCAGGATCATCTGCAGCAACCTCTGTCCACACTACAAAACAAACAAACAAACAAAAAACAAAAACTACCTACTTAGTTCTTGTGAGCCTTCATATGAGAGTCCAGTTGGCTTTTATACATGAAAGTGTTTTCACAGATCTGACAGGAGTAGGGCTTCTCTCCCGTGTGGATCCTCATGTGGGTTTTCAGGGTACCTTTGCAAGTAAATGTTTTTTCACACACGCAGCAGCCGAAAGGTTTCACATCCATGTGGCTCATCATGTGCAGCTTCAGGCTGCCCTTGCTAACAAGCTTTTTCTCACACACGCTGCAGGAGAAGGGTTTCTCGCCCGTGTGGCTTCTGACGTGGATGACTAAATTGCTGCTGCTTGCGAAGGCCTTGCCACAGAAGGGACACACGTGCTCCCGCTTGTCCAAGTTCTCTTTTTCCTGCGTCTTTATTCCGTTGTCGTGTTTCTTCATGTGATACTGGTGGATCTGAGTGTAGGCRAACTTTTCACCGCAGATCTGGCAGGAATAGGGCTTCTCTCCTGTGTGGACTCTCATGTGGTTGAGTAAACCAGTGCGAGTGGTGTACAGCTTCCCGCAGGTGAGACACGGATGCTTCCATTCGGCTGCGTTCTCTTCACTTTTACTGTTTCTTCTGGTGTGGTATCTGATGTGAGACTTCAGGATGCGCCTGTAAGCAAACGTTTTACCGCAGATCTGGCATGAATACGGCTTCTCTCCTAAGTGGACTTTCATGTGGACAGCTAAGCTGGCTCTGCGGGTGAACGCCTTTCCACAGTTGGGACACTGATGCAGCTGCACGTCGGTTGTTTTCTCCTCGGCCACGTGACTCTGGCTGTGGAGCTCCAGGGCTTCTGTTGTGGGGAAAGCTTTACCACAGCTTTGGCAGACATGCTCACTGCTGTGGCTCCTCAGGTGGCAGGCTAGCTTACTGGCATTTGGGAGGTTTAGGCCACAGATGGAACAAATGAGCGGCGGTCTGTCAGCATCTGGGACCTTACCTGCAGCCGTGCTCGTTCCTGCCATGCACTGGGATTTATCTCTCAAGGTTTTCACAGAAATCCTGCCGACCAYTTGCCCCTGACGTCTGTGGACGGTGTAGTGAGATGAAAGCTGCCTCCATGTTTTGTAGCCTCTCCCACATAAAACACACCTTTTCCTTCCTGTGGTTCTGCTCWTAGCGACACCAGCAGGTGACCCACTGCCTCTCTCACCACTGTTTGTCTTTTTTACTGGCTCAGAATCCTGATCCTGGTCCTCAGGTCCAGCAGAACCCTGGGAGGTGAGCTGCTCCACGTCTGGTTCTGATTCACTTTCTTCATTTAAATCCGGATCAGTCCCCCAATTCTGGTGGAGCTGATCTTCCTGATTGGTGCAGAGCTCCTGCTCTTCTTCCAACGGTGCAAGTTCTGGATCCTCAAAGTACTCGAACTCTGCAGGTTCTGGGTCCTCCGGGTACTCAAACTCAGCAGGTTCTGGGTCCTCCTGCTCTTCTTTGATTTGTGGGAGTTCTGGTTCTGTTTGGTCCTCAATCTGTGGAAGTTCTGGTCTTGTCCACCCACCTCTGATCTGTACAATCTTGAGCGCTAGAGGTCCTTGTTCCTCCTGGTCCACGCTGGGCTGCTGGTTTGTGAGAATCAGATCCATCTTTTGGACCCTTTCTTGTCTGAGATCTGAACAAACAGAGGATTCATGTCAGAGACCTGAACTGAGACCAGCTCCAACAGAAAACAGTTTAAACCTTGAAAACAAGAAAACCGTGAGACTCTCAGCTTCTACCTCACTGAGGTTTCTCTCAACATGTTTGTGTTTGCTGAGGGAAACAGGAACTTCCTGCTCCTGTAGCTACAGAGCACCAGAAGAAAATATAATGAACTAAATAATCATCAGAACATAAAATTAAATAAAATATTAACAGCTGAGTTCAAATATTAGTGTTAAAATAACATAAAAATAAACAAAAACATTAACAGGTAAAACTTTTCTGAAGTAACGTTACAGAGGAAGCTAATAATTAATTTTTTACTTTGTAAAACATCAACAACAAACATGGAGGAAGTTTGTGCTTTTTCATTTCATAGTAGGAAAAAAGAATGATAGATGTTAACCTGTTAATCCTACCGGCAACTATTGTTCCCAGACTTTTATTTTATTTTTATGGAGGCTCTAATAGTGTTAATACGGCTTTGGGCAGCTAATTAAAGTTTTACAACAGTATAATAGTCTGTCTGCTCTTAGTTATATCAGTTTCATGTAGTTAGTGTGAAAGGTCACATGACCACACCCCTTGACTTCCTGCCTGCCCTGCTGGAGGGAAATATCTACCTCAAACTGGTACAAAAGGCAGTGAATAAAATATCTTAATAACCACATATAACTGAAATATTTTGTACATATATTCT